ATCTTTCAAGTGAGTTATGTGAAAAGAAGTCGGCATAATAGTCCATCGAGTATTTTTTATTTTCTTCAATTTCCTTATTACTAGAAGACGTGATACCCATGCATCAATATATTGTTTTATAAAAAAAATACATATATTAGTGAATTTATTAATAAATTTAAAAAAAAATTAATCAAAATGTAATATAAGAAGAATATAAGACTTACCCCCTTCGAAATATTCATTATCTTCAACCCCTAATAAAATACCCCACCAAGACCGATCAAGAAACAAATGTATAACATCGTCGAGTTTGCATATGTCAGCATAACACCCCTGGCTCCGCTCATGTAGATAAAAATCAACTGCGGTCTTAGCCCAAATGGTATTATCCGTAATTGTGTCCGGTAGTGTTTCCCTCTCCTTCTGATGAATGGTACTGGCCGGTAACTCATACGAAAGCCAACACGCATCCATCATATCAGGCACGGGAGGGGGTTTATCAATATGTCGACAAATGACGTGTTGTGAATCGGGCTCTTGAACGGTGGGAGTGACCCATTGAACGATGACAGGGGCCTCTTGAACGATGAAAGGAGCCTCTTAAACGATAGGAGGCGTCTCTTGAACGATGACAGGTGAATCGGGCTTCTTCTTACGGAGTCTTGGCACTACTGGGGTGAAAAGAGACGTAATGGCACGTGCACGATGTCTGATGCGTGAACCCCGTCGTGCAATAAAAACCCGACATAAAGCATCTACCTTATTGGGCCGCTGAAAATAAATTAATACATAAATAAATAAATAAATAAATAATGCAGAAAAAATGTTTTTTGCATTTTTAATATAGTATTAAACAAATTTACCTCATTGCGTATAGTATGAACCTCATTTTGCAACGATAAAACAATTTCACGTAGAGCGGCTACCTCATCACGTAAAGTAGATACCTCATCATGTAGCGCACCATTGTCATCACGTAAAACATCCACCTCACCACGTAAAGACCGTACCTCATCACGCCATGCACCATTGTCTTCACCTAAAGTACCGAGCTTATGACGCAAAGCACCGACCTCATCACGTAACTCACCTAACTCATCCCGTGGAGGTGGAGAACAGGGATATAAATGTTGTGGCCTCTTTTTCGGTCGCCTATCATGAGGTGATGGTGGAGAAGAGGCTCAATGATGTGATGAAATAGGTGATGGTGGAGATGGAGAAGAGGCTCGATCAGGTGATGGCTCCGGGTGTCGAGCTGTAGAATCATCCCGATCAGGTAATGGCTCTCGAAGTGGGGGGTATTCATCATCCATCCCATCAAAAAACCGCTTACTAGCTTGCCACCAATCAGTGACAAGCTCAGCCTCTGTGGGTGTCAGCCTCTGTAATGGATAGTTGGCCTCCTAACAATATAAAAGCTCAAACAAAGTTAAGCGTGTACTAGTAATAACTTGTTTAACTATATGGTAGTATTTGTGTGTTAACTTACATCATTCATCGTCGTATATGATAGTAACTCTTCCCAATCCAACATGCGGATCCTCTTCCAGGTAATAGCCCTAAGAATATCATTTAAATTTTTTATCGCATATGTCCACATGCTGGGAAAAGCCTCAAATATCCAAATCTACAAACAATATAATACACAAACATCAGTAATTGTTAAATAATTAATTATAAATTTGGAAACATTATATAAAAATTCTAACCTTAAAGGCCCAAATAAAGCCTACCAAAGTGTATTTAGAACCATCGCCCCGCAAACTTTTTCGGTCTTCAAAGGCAGACAACAACTTCTTCCAGGTAGCTTTCAATATATATGAACCACACGAAAACAGGTTCCATGCATTTAGGTCTTCAGAAATAGGTCATCTTCCCTCTTTGCCTAAAAAGCAGGCATGCAAAAGTAATAAATGGCATACTCGGACAACATCAAGGTCATCCATCCGAGTAAAACCATCTTTAACAAATAATCTCTTCAAGTCGTTGACGTGTAAACTCGACTTCGACTTTTCCAGTTCAGGAAAAACCCGAGATAACCATGATGGGCGAGAGATATGACTAGTGTACTGGGTTACTTCATCGTGTCCGAAGTGTAGACCAGTGATTAAGCAAAATTCCTTCTGCCCAAAATAAATATACGCCGGAGAAAAATGAAACAATATCTCTTCATCACTACGTTGTATCCTCTCGGGTAGATCGTTAGTCATGGTCTGAAGAAACAAATGTGTCAACATAGCATCTCCACTCGAATGTTGTACTTTCAGCCATGGCCTGAAGCAAGTATCCTCAAACAATTTTCTTTATAGATGTGTAAGCGTCGACACAATTTTAGTGGCTAGACTTAATTTATTCCTCAATGTCAATTGAGCCGAAAAAAATTTCTACAAAAACAATAAACATACCAAGTTATATATACCAAAAACTACAAATTATACACTATAAACATACATGATATTAAACAGTAAAAACAAAGCCAAATATGTTTCAAATTAGCACGGTATTCACCCAAGTCATTATTCGATCATAGTTCATAAAATGTATAAGATAACATTCCAGAAGTAAGTACTTATATAAACATAAAAGGACAACATATAGGTTTAGTGCAGATTCAATGACAACATAAAGAGTAGTAGTTTATTCTTGAAATTTAAATTAACAATTTGTCTTTGTTTTTTGTTGAAGTAATGCAATTCATTCAAGTTTCAATTTACAGAATAAGAGTAGTTTATGAAACTTAAATTCGCAACGAGAAAATGAAAATCGCAACGAGAAAATTGTAACGCGAAACTAAAATCGCGTTGCGATTTTCTCGTTGCGAATTTAAGTTTCAGGAACTACTCTTATTCTGCAAATTGAAACTTGAATGAATTGTATTACTTCAACCAAAAAACAAAGATAAATACTAACTTCACAGGGTTAAAGACTAAACAGTTTAACAGTATTGACAGCAACCGAATGAATTTACTAAGCAATCTCAGTGAAATGGTTAATCTATATATATTGAAATTACCAGTAAATTTATCACCAATATAAGAAAAATCTAATAATAATACAAAAATTTCAAAATAAAAATAAGAGATTAAAAAAACTAACCCTCGGTGGTTGATTTTCCATTTCTGACCGTGAATGGTTGTGAGGGTTGCTCTGAGAGATGGAGATAGACGGATTTCACCGGAGATGGGGACGGATTTCGTCGGAGATGGGGACGGATGTCGCCGTAGAGAGTGAGAGATGGAGATGGGACTGAGTTGTGATTTAGGATTTTAGGTTATGATTTGCGATAATACTGTTTACATTTGTGTTGCGAAATTAATATTGTGTTTCGAATTCGAAAATAAAATAAAATTCGCGTTGCGAAAATAAACACGTTTTGCGAATTTGACTTTCGCGTCGCAAATTTGACTATCGAGTTGCGAATTTGACTTTTGTGTTGCGAATCTGAAATTCAGTGTTGCGAATTTGACTATCGCGTTGCGAATTTGACTTCTGTGTTGCGAATTTGACTTCTGTGTTGCGATTTACTTATTCACGTTGTGATTTATAGATTTGCGTTGCGATTTATAGATTCGCGTTGCGAATTTGACTTTTGTGTTGCGAATTTGACTTCAGTGTTGCAAATTTGACTATCGCGTTACGAATTTGACTTCTGTGTTGCGATTTACAAATTTGCGTTGCGATTAACAGATTCGCGTTGCGATTTACAGATTCGCGTTGCGAATTTGAAAACTGGGTTGCGAAATTGGAGTTCGCGTTGCGAATTTGTTGGTCATTTTCGCAAATCCAAAAAAAATTGATTAAAATCGTATATTATAAGGCATTTTCGGTCACTGAGGTTATTTTCTCTTTGATTTTAGTTTGTAATGGCTTTCATTTCCTTGACGCTTGTTTATTAAATGAACTGAACACAAACAAGGCATGTTTGGTTTATTTATATTCATGAACAAGTTTGTTTATGTTTTTCCTTAGCCCGTTTACTATTATAATCGAATATTATTATGGTATTTCTGTATAATTATTAATATTTATGTTCGATAATTTTATATCAAAAAATAAGGGAAATATTAATTTATGGTTTGTTCATTTATTATCATGAACACAATTTTAATTGTTTGCGTTCACTTTTATATTCATGAACATGTTCGTTTAGTTTAATATGACGAACACAAACGTGCATAATTTAAAGAAAAAACGAATGCAAACACAATTTCAAAGTTCTATAAGAACCGAGCAAGAGAAAGCTTAAATATAATTATATAAACAAATGAACATGAACAGAGATTTGTTTGTTCATTCAAGCTCGATTCATTTACAGCCCTAGTGACACACAAACCAAGTGAGATTCACAAGTTTAACAAAGGTGATATGTTGATATATTTGTATTATCTCATTTCATAATCTGTTTGACCTTTTAATCTACACCATTAACAGAACCCTAGTGAGATTTTAAAGGGATTATAAACATGAAATCAACAAGAAACCCAACATATTAGAAACAAAAACAATGTGCACGGAATCTTCTTTTAGATCTCAACTACTGAAAAAGGAAAAGAAAAACAAATTTGTTACATGTATGAAAACAGGTTTGCTATGTTTCCACAAAGCACTAAGATGGAGCTTAGCCAAGACATAAGTTCAAAGAATTCATTTCTCAAAATAGTGAGTCAATTACAATGGATAAGTTTCATGGCTACCTTATTTCCTTGAAATAAAATTACCAAAAAAAAAAAAAAGAGAGAACTCATGACTTAAAAGTACAAACTTAAAATTCTACAAGGTACCATATTCTTCTACTCCTTAGAGGCTATGACACTGTAACTCCCACTCTTGATTTCTCTTAATCCGAGCATAGATACAGAGATATGACCATCTTAAGAACCCTCGAAACATAAGGAAAAAATATACAGAAAAATATAACATAACCGTGTTTGACATGTGCCCATATCCGACAGTCACTCTAGTCGAAATAACATAGTTATGAAAACATTTTCCTATGACAAGATTGACAAATGGCAGGTTCATTTAATATTGTCTTCAATAATTCTCCCTCCAACATAATTGATTGATAATAACGCAGCTTATGGTGAATTATTATTTTACAAAATTCACAAAACACACAAGTCATCATCAAGAAGAATCCACAAAAATCACCAACTTGAACCTCAAAACTGAAATAAATAAATCCAAATTATCATGAATGCAGAAAATCAAACCAAGCAAATTGTCTGACATTATACCTTTGCGTATGAACCTTTGAAAGCTCGGCGATGTCTTTTCTTCTTTCTCTATCTGCATCCTTCTTAATTTCTTCATTGCTCATCCCAGCTAAAAACTAGACCTCATTTAAAGAAAAATCAAATACATTGAAACGAAACAGCGCAAAATTAAAAGATTTTGCCAACAAAAGGGAAAAAATTAAAAGCAGGCACAAATAAAACACAACCATGAAAGTAAAGAAATGAAATTTCCTTTTTCTACACTAAAAATCTAAACTACCCATCAATATGCATATGACAATATCTAACCGATGGATAAACTCTGACAGCCGAAAAAAGTGCAGATAATCGAGGAATAAAAGAAAAGAAAATTCTGTTTTGTATACAAAAAAAAATCCAAAATACCCATCAAAGCAGATAACGATGTATAAGCATTTGATGAGATAATGAACAAGATAAGTAAAAAAAAAGGATGGAGAGTGTAGATACTCGATTTGTCCGGGGTTATGTCGGAGCAGACTCGAAGCCATGGCAACCTAACCCGACCCCAAGCCAGTTGAAGGCCCAATTTAAACCCAACAATCTAACAGGGTATTTACCAGTTCAAGTGAGGATTCCCTACAACAATTGGAATTTATTTTAGCCATGTATGATAACTAGTAAGTTATCAGAAGTTACCAATAAGACCGGGTCCATGATTTTGAATAGATAGAAAGAAACTGTAAATGAGGTGGGGTCGGTTATTATTAGCAATTAACCTCCAGAAACCAGGGGGACACTGACATAACAAGGGAAAAAAAGGAGAAAAAATGGTAACGGGGGTTTTGCTCGAAGGATCGAAAGAAAAATAGTGTAAAACAAGGACCTTTGCCCTTCATGAATGAGAACGAGAAGCATTTCAAAAAAAAGATTGGAGCATATTTCATTCTTTTTTTCCACTGATCATTTACTGAATATAGTCTAGGTATTTTGTTTTCCTACTTGAAATTTCCGTCGTTCGTGAATTCATTAGAGGATATCATCGTTCACGGCAACGAATTCCAACAGTATACAAGCAGGTTCATTTCTTTTTTTTTCATTCCAAGAAATACTAAACAAAATCGTATGCTCATCTTCTTTCCCAAATGAATAGAGTGATAAAGAGATAAGTTAATTTCGTTTTTACCTGTTTTCTGTTTGGAGGTCGTTTGACTTGCTCAGTCGTCGTCAGTGCCCGGGGATAGTCTGGTTGATGTTCTGGGTTCGGTATGGCGCCTGTTCAAGGTTTTTTTTTTTATGGTTGGGCTTTGGATCGAAGCATTTAGAAGCGTTTGTTAGGGAGATTTAACTCTTGTTCTAGGTCTAAGCGGGTAGATCGGCGAGGTTAGGTGGTCGTTCGTTTTGGTTGAGGGCTAGAGCAGGAGGAGGTGTCCAGGCTCGCTAAGTTGGTTCGGGTCCTTCGTCACAGGTGACTACCACGGTGGTGGTCGGGAAGGTGAATCGTGCTCATATAGGGTATTTAGGGGCGTCAACGGTGAGATCTTTCCTCAGGTTTGTGGTCTAGGGGGAGAGATGAGGAGTGGGGTCTGGTTTCGGGCCTCAACAGCGTGGCGGAGTTAAGCGGTTGGCGGCCATGGTGGCTAGGGTCTTACGCTCGAGGAGAGTTGAAGAGAGGATGAAGACGAGGGTAGAGAGGTGAGAAATGGTTTTAGGGTAAGCATTTTACCCTAATGGTCGCATATATTCTGTTGCTAAAACGGTGACGTTTCGGGGTTATACGAAACGACAGTGTTTCATCGACTTGGTCACCCGGGTTTTGGGAATAGGGTTATTCGCGTGTGAGGTCCATTAGTATTAATCGAGATTTTCATTTATTTTATTTTGTCTCTTTAGTTTATATGTGTTTCATTTTGATACCCAGTATTAGTGTATTTAAGTTTGCTATTTTTTAAGACATTTAACCTTCATATTTTTGCATGTCGTATTTTAGTCATTAAATCGAATGTTTCTATTTTTCTAATTTTGTATCTTTGTTTTGTGTGAATATAATTTTGGTACCAAGTTAGGGTATATAAGTTTTTCTGTTTTAGACATTTGACTTTCGATTTGCGCATGTTGCGTTTTAGTCCTAGGGTTGTGTTGTTTTAAGTTTCTGTGCTATTGCGTATTCTGCATAGTATTTTATTAGTTTACATTTTAGTCCTTAAATGGTCGTTTTCGTATTCCTGATTTTGTCTCTATGTTTTGCCCCATTTAATCTTCGTCCTAAAGTGTTTATTGTACTTAGTTTCTGTTTTTTAGACATTGGACTTTAAATGTTTTGCATGTTCTATTTTAGTCCATTTTGTGTGTTTAATCGAATTTTGCAATGATTGTGATTCTGGCTCATTACTTTAAAAAGTTTCTATTTTGACCCCTTTATTTATTCAAGTTAATTTCTTGTATTTTTACGTTTGGTATGTAATTATGTTAATATTTTTATTTTCGTCCATAGATTTAAATTTTAAATACTTTAGTCATAATTTAGACTTTTTAGATTAATTCTTTAAATTTAAATTTATTTTAATATAGTCCATTCTTAGATTTGTTTTTAAGTTAGTTGTTTATATCTACTTTGCATGTTATGCAAATGATTTATGGTGACCCACATGCCATCATTCTTTGTATGATTTGTATGATAGCCTCACTTGCATAACTCGACATATTCATAATCGAATTAAGGGTAATACACTTTTAATTTAAAATTGTTTTAAGTGGGCAGTCATAACTGATTTGTGGTCCGCTTTTAATGATTTTAAAATAAAAGTGTATCCCGAAAGTGAAACCAAAAAAAATTGATTCATCACCTAAAATTTGGGAACGAGAGAAAAAGAAATGTTCATTTATTTAAATATATCGAGAAAAGGTTGTTATATCTTTAAGATTTGGTCTCGATATTTGTAAATAATCGAACATTCTTTATCTTTCTAAAATGACTTGGTAATTTTAATTTAATTTGCTTGAGTGTTTTTTAACATTTTAAATTTACATTTTTTTTATGGGATCAAAAATCAAAATAAATTCGAATTTGTAAAGTTCATTGTAAAGACGTTAATTAATCGACTAGGTACCGATTTAGGGCGTTGTGGGGGTGCTAATCCTTCCCCACACGTAACCGACTCCCGAACTCGGATTTTGGTAATGCAGACTTCAATTTGTTGTTTTAATTAAAATTAGTTTTTATTTAAAATGACAAATCACTTTTGGGTGCCCAATCACACCCTAGTCAAAGATTGGTGGCGACTCTTCAAACCGTATTTTCGATCGTAAAGGAAATTCAAAATTTTTTGAAACGAGAGGTTTTTTAAATCACATTTGTTTTTAAATTAAAAATGGACAATTAAGAATTAATGTGATTTTCAAAATCTCACATTTTTTCACCTTTAAGAAAAAAATCGTTTCGACATTGAGAAGAAAGAGGGGTCACCTTGCGATGAGGCCATCTGTCGAGACCATTTTCACGGCAGATTTTCTTGAGAACAGAGGTGCAAACGCCTGAAGGATGGAGAATCAATATAGAAATGATAAGGCAGGGCCGCAAAGGAATTGAATTGAGATGTCAAATGAAATGCTTAAAAGAAATTACCAAGAGTGGAAGCGGCGTCGTCGAGAGGAAGAGAGAAGAAGTGGTAACGTCATCAAAAGAGAGAGATTGAACAGCTGCTGAGTTGCTCTTATGCTGTTTTAAGTTCATCCTATTCCTTCCTCCTCTCTTCACTTGTATTTCTTCAACATTGTCATGGGATGACATTTTTCTTTTAAATTCATGAAAAATCCTTCATTTTACTTGTTATTTTATGCAAAACCTCTAAATATTAAGAAATTGTTAATTTCTTTTTAGTAACAATTACTATGGTGAATCACGTATTTAATACATAAACTATCAATTTTGATCCATTTTAGTACTTAAATTTTAAATTTTTTCTAAAACTCAAAACTGGTATAATAAAATAAAACAAAAACTAACCTAATGTATGATTTTAAAAAAATTAAAAGTTTAAGTACTAAAATTGATCAAAACTATAATTTAGATACTAAACGTATAATTTACCCAATTATTTAACTTATTCAGTGGTTGTATTTTGGTTCCTGCGATTCTCTACTGTTTATTCGTTAATGTTTTTAATCTGCTAAGCTTCAATCTTATCAGAATATATCTTTCAAGCTTTTAAGCGTTAATAAAATCAAGAATGTTTTATGTTTAAAGGTTTATTTAAAAGAAAAAAATAAAATGATATTAAAAAAAATATAATTGTTAAATAAAACATATATTTTTATAAATAGTAAAAAAATAATATGGGTTGATCTACATGATTTGGATTTAGACAAGTTTTAAGATTCAGATCTCGAATTGGATCAAACTCGAACAACAATATATAGTATTTTTTTTAATAACAACTTGGAATCTGCAAACATATATTTGTTTACATTTTTCAGATTGCATGAAAGATTAATGGCGACCACAAAGCTTAAAAGATGAAAGACGTTAATAAATACTAAGTTGGTCATAAGCAATGCTAAAAAAGCTTACAAAAAGGATAACAATGGCTGCTGGACAGCAAAAGAATTTTCAAGCATACTTGATAGGGGAGATGTGGTCTTTCTCTTTTCTTCCAGCAAGGATCATCGAAATCTGGAGTCCTCTGCTAAATGCTTGGTTGAAGAGCAATCGGGTTTGGAACTCGGACACGAACGGGAACCATGATAAGATAGCTATGGGCATGAACAATATCAGACCCATGATATACTCGTATGCCCTTGCAAGCTCCTTTATTGAGTCCCAGAATTTTAAGCTTTTCAACACTGGCCTCAATGCTTGTCCAATCTATGAATGCCATCACCAAAACAAAGAAGAAAAACGAACATGAGAATACTGCAATTGACCAGTAGCATACTATGTTGCTTGGACTCTTCATTTATCTTGAAGTATTTGTGTCCAACACCTATATCCAATGCATATTCAGTCACGGTAACGGACTATGACCCTTCAACCCATTATAGATACATATCCGTATATGCCATTCAAATCCAAGTAACATAGGTAGCATATAAAGGACAATTTATCGTATGTTTCAAATCTTTGAAGTTCTTAATACCATCTTCAGAAAGAAAATAAACTCATGCATTAGTAGTTTTCTACTGCATCAACCGGCTAGAATGAAGAACGATCTCTGATATAAGGTATAAAGCCATACTCTAGAGCAAAATATTCAGACTTCGAATCACTGCTAATTTTAGTTGGACTCTTTGTTTTCCATAAAATATAAATGTTCGATGCCTATGCCTGAGACATTAAAAAAATGGGTATGAAGGTATGATCCTCCAAATATATGGATTTTGTTTTCAAAAAAGATTAAGCATACTCAAATCCAGGTAAGAAAAGGCAAAGATAGGTTGTAATTAAAGCATAAGTCATACTTGTTCTTCAAGAGAGAGGTTGTAATAAGCATGCAACAATTAAACCAAGCAGCTGCTACTGTATGTCATTAAATATATGGTAGTATAACTAAAGTTTCATAACTTACGAGGAGAATTGCCCATCCAGTGGGCAAGAAGGCAAGGGTGGCAGCAAACACATCCGAAATTGTTAGTCCACATACTACAAATAGCACAGTCATGACCGACAAAAACCCAAGGAATAGAAGTGCCTTGAGAATCCTGAACATGAGTTGAAAGTCGGTACCAAATCTCCGCCTACCCATTGATACCATCTGTGAACAGTTTTTTTTGGGGGGGGGTACATAAACAGGAAAAGTTAAACATTCACATCTATGGTATTTAAAAAAGGTTTAAAAAATGAGGACATGGTTACAGTAGCCAGTTATTTAAACATGAAGATACTGTCATGAGAAGCCTGTGATGGAGGAGTATATTTCCAGTTCTTTAAACATGAAACTACTCTGACCAGGTCTCTCATTTATGCTTGAACAAATTTGCTTAAAGTACCTTTAACACTACCAGTGCCGTTAGCATAACAAGCCAAGAAAGTCCATAAACCTACAAGGATAATAAATTGGAAGATAAGGAGATGGAAGTATGAACTAGAAAAAATAAAGAAAAAATTCCCATAAAAATAGACAAGGATTAGTAGGCAAAAGCAAAGTGTAGAAAGATGAACTTCGAAAATTATACCAAAATGTTTTTGCTGTGATGAGCTATATCAAGGTGGTAGACAATCCCATATTGGTAAACAAAGAAGCGAAATGCAAGGATAATCTCAAGCAGCCTTCCCCTAATATTTGTGAATTTAAGGTGTTCTTGTTCTTCTTCCCACCATGATTCCCAACTTTTATTTGGCTGGATACCAATACCACCGCGGTTTCCCATCCACCTCTTCCAATCTGTCCAGTCATCCACTGTTTTTTGCCAGTCAAAACCAGATGGGTTGAACACAAAAGGGGCAAACAACCAGGAGCCAACAAGGAACCACATGGAGACTGTTATGAACATAAAAAGGCTTGAACTGCGATAGGATTCCCCATAAACTTCATAGAGGACCAAGAGAATGAGAAGCTCCAACCCTTTTACAAAATGACTTCTAGAGTACAACCTGTAGTTATCCCCGAACCTTGCATGAAAAACAACAAAGCCACGACCAGTAGCTCGATATTTAGAACCTCCGTGCAAGATAGTTCTTCCAAAATAATGTGCTTTTGTACCAAGCTGGAAAGTAAAGAATACAGAGGCAAGTTGTAGCTGCATGATGACAAAGTCACCCAGAGCAGTACGGAACCCTTTTTCCAGGCCAATTTCCATAACCATGGGAAGCACCAGCAACAGGCCCAGCTGGAAGACGGACTGTGTTGCCAAAGCTTCTTCAAGGGCCTTGCTCTGACGTATGGTTGCATTCTCAAGAATCTCTTCTTCCAGTCCACTCATAACCATGTATAAACGTCCATATAAGAATACATATACTATAAGGACTGTAACCTGAAACATAGTAATTCCCAAATGCTTTAAGTCTTTATTTGCAGATGAATACAGTCATTTATTTTGGCTCTTCTTTCCTTCATTTTTTATTTTCAAATGAAAAAGCAGCTGGGTTAGGTGATATGATAATCCATTGAACTACTCAGCAATGAAGTGATCAAACTTTAAATACTACAAAAGAATGTTACCCATAAGAATAATGCTTCATCTTGAAAACTGATCAGACTATATAAAATTCTTAGCTAAGTAACCTAGTCACCAAAAAATTTGAAGCAGCCCCATTTACTCTAATTAACATACCATGCTACTGAAATAGAAGCCCACAGTTGTAAAATAGAATGATAACATTCTATAGAAATCAAACCGACGGCCAAGCCGATAAACATCCCGGCTGAGTGTCTGCTCTCCATTTCCATTGGCAACCTTAGCCTCAAAGGCAGATATCTGATTCATTCCAACATCTCGCCCCTTACCAACTTGGATATATTCATGATGTGTTACATAACCCCCGCGCAAAGTAGAATTGAACCCTGAACAAGATAACATAATTAACAAGCAGATTATAGCTTTTATGTTAGAGAATTGAGCTGACTGAAGATTACCAGCAAATATATCCTCGCTCAAGTTAATAATTTTTGAAGCTTTGCTTATGCCACCTCTTGTTACATGGAAGATTCTGTCAAATATATCAGGATGACCATAATGGAATCTCACCCTGGAATGATAAGATAAGAACAGTTAAGAGAGACTTGTATGATAAAGCAACAACAATAAGGCTGCTCAAGCTCAACAAAACCTTGCAAGGCCATTAATTTTGGAATTTGTACAATCATGCCCTTTTAATGGCTTAACTGAGAATACATATAAAAGTCAAATATCAATAAATAAGTGTTAACTATTGATTTGAGAGGATTTTGATTTGAATGGTTTGTCTTGCCGCTACCATTCCATTGAATAAATATGTGAGTATACACAAGATTATAGGCAAAATTTTAGCTAAATCTACGGCTGATATCTCTCTGTTTACAACAGTATAAAATAGCTGTGGAAAGAGGAAATTATGGCTGGTTTCTCTCTATTTACAGCAGTATAAAATAGCTATGGGAAGAGGAAATTATGACTGGTATCTTTCTATTTACAGCAGTATAAAATAGCTATGCAAGGAATTATATTGGTAACAATAAGAACTAAATACAGAAAACTAACAGGGCAAGTAGGAATGTAAGCAATTCAATAGGAATGTATATACAATATGGGTCAAATAGGAATGTAAGCAATTCAATGTAATATCACATAATGTCAAGGATTTAAGAAAGTTCAGTCCTACCTCAGAGGATTTGCTAGTATACGTTGCCCAATTGTAACAAAACTTGTCTCTTGATTGGACATGAACCAAGCTAGAGAAGAAACACTGTCAAACAAATATAAGCAAGTACATGTATTAATACTATCAAACTGTTCTGTGTAACATCTTGTCACATTTTCACACTCAGTTATCGTCCCCAAGCATACCAAACGAATTCAACAAGATATTGGTAAACTCACCTTCCAGTAAATATATGCTCCCTTAAACCCAATATTTGATGGCTCTCTCCCTTTGCGGCGAGGTTTTAGAAATTCCTCCAAAACATTTCTCATCTTATAAGCCTCTTCAAAATAATTATCCTGAAAACAAAGCATGGAAAAACAATGTGTAGTTTTGCTAAGACATCATTGAAACTGGTAAACAAAGTGAAAATTCTACAAATCATTTCCATTTTGTAAGTCTCTTCAAAGTAATCATCCTCCACAAACATTGAAAAGAATAAAAGAACTTGTGAATGCATCTTTAAAATAGGTAAAACAGGCTACCTGATTCATGTCTATGGTCTGAAGGGCTTCTCCACGAGTAAAAATAATTGCATGATTTTGATTTTCAGGCTTCCCTTCACCGATTTCTGTAGGGGGACCTGGCAGTTTGATCCGATATATTTCCTAGGAATATTGTCATTCCCCCATTTATTTATTAATAACATGAGACAAATGAAACTATAGCATAAAAGTTTGAAAGCATCAAGTAAAATTTCACAAAGAAGAATTGAGAAGCGATACGAACATTTTGCAAAAATGGAAAGCTACCACAAGTCTAAAATCTTAACCATTTCTAATGGTCTTTCCTTTTACAAAATTACCAGTATTGAAATGGCCAATCTTCAAAATCTCTAATACCCATCTTATGTCAGACTTGAAACACCAGTTCTAGCATTAAAAGGATTGATGGTATAAAGTTTTTATTTTCCTTTAAAAAAAAGTCCTAATTCACTTTAGAATGTACTCTGTAACTTAAAATTTGGATTTAATAACATAAAGGAGACGACGAATGAGGCAAGCATAATGCGATATGGACATGCATAAATGGGAAAAATCACTCATCTAATATAGGCAAATTACATAAACCTTCACCATTTTGCTGCCTTAGTGTGATAAATAAAAACAAACCAAACCAAACCAAATAAAATTTGCATAGAATATAGATAAAGGTCAGACTGGTAATTTGTTTAATAAATTGATAACTCAACTGGCACACTCCGGGTAATTCTATGGGTTTGAATTCACATCTTTGTATTCATGTCATACTTGTAACATATTGATAATGAAACAGTGATGCTCGTGTCTAATGCAAGTTGGCCAACATAAGGCAAAAGTGACAGATACAGGCAAACCTTTTAAAACAAATTCAATTAATCTAACACGTTTACAACCATTCAAAAAATTATTAGCATTTAAAATTCATATATTTAACAATTAATTGTACTTTAGTATATTAATAATGTCATTATCTACCTAAATGTTTATACATATCTAATTAAACAGGTTATTGTCTATGGTGTCTTGTGACATTTTTAATAAACACGTGATGTTGTACCAGTTCTTAACTTTGCAATATGCAGACTTTGAAACATAATTAGGTTAAGATAGCATGAAATTCAACCCCTATAATGTTTGAAAATTTTATCTGTATAACAGGATGTCATGAAGTACATACCTCGTCCAACTTTTCACCTCCCTTAACAAGAACAGAATAATAAAGCTTCTGAGATATTCCCTTTACTGTCTCCTCTCTTTCATCGATATAAGCAACACGCAGAGATGGATACCTTTGCAGTTTCAAAATATAAAAAGATGCATTCAAAATTCTATTCTACTTGTTAAACCGTGCGCTTGAAATAGTGAGCACCAACTTACGTTAACATGAGATTTAGAATGTTAAGGTAACAACTGCGGTCTCGCGCGTCAGAAGATTTTTTCTGAGCCCCATAGATTTGACAGGAAACAACATAGGTGAACTTCATATTGGCCAAAGCCTGCGCTTGTTCTATGTATCTTGGATCATCCTCAAAGGCCTGGAAGCCTCCCAAAATTGCTACAAGGGAACAAATGAATACTTCAAGATAGTATCATCACATCACCTTTTAAAGAAACTGGATAAGTAGAAGACATTTATTTGGAATTGCAATTATCCAAAGGGAAAACAAACCAGAGTCTTCTGAAAACTCTAAACAGTATTGGAGTTCCAGAGCCTGCCTGTAGTACATCATCCCTCTCACTGGAAAAAATACATAATGACATAGCTCAAGTAAGAATCAAAATAACTAAAGTTAGTAAAAGTAAAACAATATTTTTTTTATGTTCGTATACCTGTTCTGGAGAGCGTTTGTCCTCTATAAGATACCCATTTTCGGATTTCTTCATTGTTCTGAGGCTCATCATTCTCATTTTTTGATGCAACAGATGGCACACGCTCTAGAAAGTGGTTCCACTCATCTAGTTTCAGTTGCAGATGTCCAGTTATTCGTATGCTTTTGATACAGCATAATATAGCAAGAGATTGCAAATTACCTGGATATATTCTCTGTAAGTAAAACAGAATTGATATTCCATCCTCATTTTCCTTATGGAGGTCCTCGTCTGAATAAAGAACATCTTCTTTGTAGTATGGAGTCAAAACACTGAATAAGAAAAACAGTATGAGAGTAGAGATGCATCCATCTAAATACTACATCTAATATAGATAACCACAGCGCCCATGTTCATCTTATACAGAATTCAGAATCACAGTAACTGATTATGATGATGCTTAAAAGGAAAATAAAAGCTTTTTGTACTTTAAACAACTTGAAAACAATGATCCAATTAAAGCAACACACCCCCACTGAACTGTTGTAAAAACGATTTTTAGCCCACTAACATAAAAAATATCATTAAAAGAAAACTTGCCCCTTTCCCAGTCCTTGTTTCAAATAAGCAAACAGTGACATTTTACTAATATGATATCCTGTAAACTGACCTAAAGGAAAGCATGTCACGGACTTTCGGAGCACTTGGCATATTCATAAATAAGGAGTTTGCAAAAAATGTGATGCGGCGCCGAGCCTCCAGATTTTGAGGCACATTTATAGCTGATTCTTTAACAGTCAAAAGCAAATATAGACGATTGATCTGCAAAAAAAAAAAACATATGTATAATTATATTAGGAATAAAACATTCTCTGAAAATAGTTACATGATAAATGACCAATATGAGTGCATCTCAAATATACCTTCTCCCTCCACATCTTCTGTTGAATTAGGCTAGTATTTATCTTTTCAAATCTCTGCTCTTTCCTATCATTTTGAGCACTTCCACCATGATGGTGAGCTCTTCCAATGATTCTACAAAGAAAAACTTGTAGGTTACCATTTTCCCAATAAAATTGACACAACATCAAATCCCAAAAGGGTTTTATTCTCCGGAACTTACTCACTGCCATTGACCATAACATCCTGTGTAATAATCTCCATGATATCCTGCAGTACATTGATTATCTGAGATCTGAATGTATCAGCATCGTCCATATCAGAAAGCTGCCAACATAGAGAGAGACTTTAGCAATGAGAAAATACCATATCATGAATGAGCTTTATATCCCTAGAGAAGTTAAGAAACTGTAAAGAAAGAATCTTACCAAGATCCCTAGAAACTTGTCCAATCTATTGCTGAGTGCAGGCAGCCCAGTCATCCGAAAGTCTGTCAAAAATCTTCCCTGTTGTATGCTAATGTCGACTTCATAACAAATCTCTCTAACAATCCTAGAAGTAAAGAGAAGAGAAATTCTTAGACACTTTAATAGAGAAAAAGGGGATATTTTCATTGCTAAACAAGCCATGAAACGAGTTAAGATCACGTTTAGAAGTAGTTCAAGTTCATAATATGACTGCTTCAGCCTTACATCCTGTCCGCTTCATCTTCCAGAAGGTTATATATTATATCTCTGAGAGTTTCATAACATTCTATGACCGCTGAATGCATATAATCATCAGCCGCTATCTTCTTAAACAAGTCTGCATCATCCTTCTTTTTAAAATCTTTTGCCATGTCCAATGCAATAGGAATCTGTCATGTGTTAAACCAGACACTAAGGACGATACAGGATCTTGCATAGAGCTTAAAATTAAAATAGAAAACTGCTACAGCTATCAACCTTGCTAGCAAGCAAGAAAGGGGGCCACTGGACAACGGAGACATCACTTGATGAGGATGGTACAAGTAGCAAATCTCTATCCCTGGACAATAACGTCAAAAGAAAATATCAGATTTCTGTATATATTGCATTAAGATTTAATAAATTTCATTGACAGACAATTTAGAGAGGAATTCCCAAACCTATTGCTAATCAGATCCTGCATCCTCATAGAAAGAATGAACTTATTCCAAACCAGAGAAAAACTTGCAATATTCTTTCTTTCTGTTGCCTCATCCTGTCATGTTGAAATGATCACTTTTAGCAAAGAAACAACAAAAAGGAAGTACAGGCTCCACCACTCTATCCTGATATTGCCTTCTAAAAGGAACCATAATTCAACTTTGATACACTGATGATTAAGACAATTAAAAGCAACCACATAAACAGTGCAGCATCACTTGAGCACTACCAGAGGAAGCCTTTTTCTGTTATGATGATTTGATGATGGAACAAGACGACGACAAAAGGCTCTAGGAACAGATTCAAATCTAGACCGCAACATCCCCAATGTCCGTATCTGAAAATGTCAATTTGAGGGGAAAAAACATTAAAAGACAATCATGATTGTCTAACCACCAGAGATACAGAAATAATTTTTTTCACAAAAATTACATAGATTTCATAGGGAAACTAATATTTTTCTTTGAGAAATGTGCCTTGAAGGTATAAGAACAAGTTGGCCACTAACCTCGCCCAAATGGCTGAAAGCACCATGAATCCCACCAAAAAGAGTAGAAAATATAGCATACCATATTTGAGCATCCATAAAATATACCTATAGGGAAATAAAACAAAACTAGTTACTCAATATACACATAAACTATTTAATGATTTTAAGTACCTCACAACGGTATAATTTCTTTCATTCCCAAAACTTTCTACACGCTAACTTACCAGGACAATTGGAGACCAAATTGCAATGACGACTCCAATGTTGTGAGTTTTTACTACAGAAGATTAAGCATGACTTAGTACAGGCCATGACCACATAAAGAAAAAAAATTAAAACAAAGACAAAGTAAAGAACAGTATATGCAGAAAGAGAGAAGGGTGGTTTGAAGCATTGCTGAAGGCCATACCCTCTGAAAAGAATTCATGCCACTGATAATTATCCACATGCAAATCCATGATTATCTTCGTCGGTTCAACTAGTGGCAGTATCTATCAGCAAACCACATAAAAAAACACCCTCAAAATTTTTTCACATATGATTTAGGGAAAGAAAGAAGGTAAAAAGCAACATCTTTAAATGTGTTCACACGAGGTCAATATGACATCAACAATTAGCTCAAATTTGAAAATCCAATGTCCTTTCTATTGTTTCTGCAAACCTCCACACACAGAATCCAGTAACTTAAGGTAGTTGAGAAGATTTTAAACTTGTTTAATTCTTCTACATACATGGTAACTAGCACCTTTGAATATTCATTCTTGCATGATACTGTGAGAACACGCATAAAATATATTTTCATTTTGTAAATAATGACTAATACAGATGCAGAAAACACATACGCACACCCCTAATACAATGCTTTGTGATAATTTTCCTGTTTTAGGATTTAGCATGCATATATAGGCTATTGTGACTAGCAAAATGTATGAAAAAATAATAATAAAGACTTGGTTTCTCTAAAAAATTCTGCACTCTCAAAATTCTCAACATATATGGAAAAAACCACAAGCAAAGATAGCAAAAATATTTCACATCCTGAAAACATTACGGTTCCATTTGGCTGTTGCTATTCCTATTGCCTTCTCATATCTCAAATTTAGCAATGAAGGAAAAGCAATTAAGAAAATTTGAACTCAAGCATTTAGTTAAAATATGATAGCAACTGAATCATAATGGGATGTTATGACAAGCTCGTGGTCTTTAATGAAATTGAAAAGCTACGCTTGATGATATAATTGATGGGATAGAATTAATGACTTGTTGTAACCCTTGTAGAAAACATTTCTTATCACTTAATAGATGTACTTGTCCTGTTGAAAGAGACAGGAAAAATGGGTTGTAAACCAGTAGAGAAATTGTGTTTAATCATGGACTATGTGATACTCCAAAAGAACCCATGGTAGATAAAGGATCCTATCATGGACTATGTGATACTCCAGAAGAACCCATTGACTATGTCTTTGTATTGTTTATGTTTGGTTTTGGTTGTATTTCTAATGTTTGGCAAAAATTTCTGGGCATTCTTTTCCCCCTTCCAATGACTATGGAGTTCTACAAAACTTAATAGTTATGAAAGGGGTTTTTAATGAGGCCTTATTTCTATAAAAAAAAAAGGTGGGTGGAAGACCGATATATCTAGCACACACGGGACCAGATATAGCATTTGTAGTGACTGTAGTCAACCAGTTTGTGTAGACGAATCACATCTTAAAGCATTAAACAGGATACTGCAATACCTGAATGGCAGCCCAGGAAAAGGAATTGTGTTTAAACATCAAACGAGCTCAGGCATTACATTAGAAGCTTACACAATGCATATTATGCAGGGTCATTAGTTGACAGGAAGTAACATTTGGGTATTGTACCATCCCAGGATGAAATCTTATAACTTTGGAGAAGTAATAAGCAGAATCTGGTGGAAAGATCAAGTGCTGAATCAGAATTCAGATCGATGGCATTGAGAGTATGTGAGTTACTCTGGGTAAAGATAATCCTGGATAACCTAAGAATAATGAGGGAAGGGCCATGAACTTTTACTGTTACAATAAATCAGCTATCCATATTGCTCATAGTCCTGTTCAACATGACCAAACAAAGCATATTGAAGTTGATAGGCATTTCATTATGGAAAAATTGGATAGTGGACTGATTTGCATTCCATTCGTCTCAACCATGGACCAGTGTCAGATGTACTCACAAAGGGACTGTCAAGCAAGTCATTTCAAGATATTCTTAGCAAGCTGGGAATGGCGGATAATCATTCACCAGCTTGAGGGGGAGTGTCATATTATGCTCAGAGTCTTTTGTTTTATTAAAGTATTTACTGTTATTTTAAGTCTTTCAAGACTAGGAGTCTTTGTAATCTATATCCAGTAAGTTTTAATCGGAATCAATGACTAAGCGTATTTAAAAGACATGTACTCTATTTTGGTAGAATAATCCAGTATTTCACCTGGTTTTCTGTCAGATAGTACCTAGTCTAGGAGTCCATATACATACATCAATATGTGTCTAAGCAAACACATAAACAGACTTTTCTCAGGTTTTAGAAGAAAATTAGTTTTCACTGAAAATTTTATTGCTTTAAACGAGTTAAAACAAGTGATCAATTATTAGCTTTTCACAGGCAAATTTTACAATAATTAAAACAGGAGAAATCACCTCCACATAGTAGCTGAATGCTAGCTTGCTGATCAGTAGCAGAATCCAAAACATTGTATATCTGCAAGTATGAAAAATGCAATCCATTCATTGGTTAAAAGGCATGCACATGTCAAAAAGCAAACATGTCAACCTTCAAATTTGATGACAATACAACCATCGTTACAATGACTAGTAAATAGAAAGAAATTATCTCAAAACATCCCCTCCCTATCTTTGGTTAGAAAAATTCTCACACTGAAAAAGAGGGAAAAGAAAACTCATTCACTTACTTCATGAGTGAAAAGAAATCCTCGTGCATGCCCCTACCTACATACAATTTTGGCTGCATTGTGGTACGAATTAAATAAGGAGCCGAGTCTTACAAAATCAATATAAACAAGTAAAGGAAAAGGGACATACTGATGTTAACATAGAAAAACATGGAAGTAGAAATAAATTCAGTCAAAAACTAAGGATATAAGTTATACTTGCCTGAGCCCACCACATAATAAGAGTGATTATTCGCCAGTTGGACCGCTCCATGGTTCTCCGTAAAGGTGGAAGTAGAAACATGAGAGCAGCCAGTATATTGGGTATCAAATATATTGCAAGACAATAATTGTACAATGACTCATTCTGCCAATCATGAATCCAATTGCTGAAGAACCTTACGAGACCAGTTGGATTTTGTACAGAACTAGAATAGCCAATTGGCAAAACCACTGCCCAAAAAGCTGCAACAGCAAATTTCAAAAGGTACCGGAGTATCTGGGAAAATTTCAAGCTTCTCCAGGCGCTGAAACTAAGAATTATGTCCAGAGTAGCTGCATGAAAAGTGATATTGAATCTAAAAATCTTTGGTTTGCCACTAAAAGAGGAAACATCTGTAACTTTGAACTACAGTAGCAATGACTTGTTAATTAACAAATTTCTGAAGCAAAGCAACCACTTAGCTATATGTTGCTTTGTGGATGATGAAAAAAACAGCATTGCTTCTATGTAACCAAATATTCAATAAATAAAGAAATTCAACTAGCCAAGAACAACCTATTACCTTGCAGAAAATTGAGAAAAGCAGCAGTAATAAAACAGTCAACACCTTTCTGAATACATCTCGTCAAAAAGCCAAGAAGATCCGGAGTTCCATGCAACAATTAGCATAGCCTGAAAACCACCAGATCAGATAGAGTAAATTCTTTCAGACATATGGTCAGAAACAAAAACTGCACGTTCAGACATTAGTCACCTGAAAAGCCATTACAAAGAATATCCACATTCGATCAAAACTTCTGTAAAGGTGCCAAAATGTTCGGGCTTCAACAAAATTTGTTTTGGGTTTTCTCTTTCCAACGGCGACTTGATTGTTTCTCTGAAGCAACCAAAGAACATCAATTTAGATCTTTATAAAGCTGAAAGAACCTAATTCAATAGAATCTGGCAAGTGTTGAATCTAAAAACCCAAAAGGGGAAATCTGAACTAGACAATAAAAGAATGTGATGAGATGTAACCAGAAAAATATAAAAGGTGACACAAGTCATGAAATGAAGGTCTTTCTGACTTTTATCACAAGTACTGTTTTAGTTTGAAGTAAATTATTCATAGTGTTTTGGTTACCTGATCAACTCTAGTTTTCTAGTTGTTTACATTTACAGTTCCTGCTTTGGTAGTCTTTTAATTGATAGTATCATAAGCTGTATGTTCTCTCTCTCAAAATTTTGGCATTGTCCAGCATCTTCACAGTCAAAGATTTGAATAAATCCACCACAAACCCACTGCCTTTCTTTTTTATTTCTGTCTCAGAATCTCAGTAATTAATCATTTGATTTCCAACCATTATTTGTCATCAAAACTCAACAACATTAACCCTAAATCCCCTACTTCTGTAAAATCTAAGCCAGCTTCAAGCTTTATAGAAAGATTTGTCATACATATGCCAAGAGTCTAATACAATAATGTTTTTCCTCTACATGAACAATAAATAAATAAACCAATAAATTATAACCTTAGAAACTGATACAAGGAGTTGCCAAACCTTATCCACTATACTTCTACATAAGAGTAGAAGAAAGAATCTCCAGTAAGGGGCACATAAAAATTTCATTTTCCTATATCAGCAAAGATGGAAGACGGTGCCTTCTACGAGACAGCAGAAAGAATGGAGATTGGAGGGGGAAGAGAAAAAGAACTTAATACTAGGAATTACATGTATTATTTATAAAGTTCTTGCAAATATCCTGATTCATTTCCCAAAGCCAAGGCATAATAGGAGACTGAACGGACATGATCCAAAGCATTTTCAATATCAAAGAGATGGTAGATTAAAAGGAAAGACAGCATTTGTTAGCACAGAATAATTGAATTCAGATTGTGTTCGCCTTCACTAAATAATTATGAGAATTACACACAAGCTTTCTATTTGCCTCCTTTAACCTAATATCAACCTTCAAGGGATTTGCATAACTACCGGGAAAACTAACAAAATAGAAATCATTGATGCTGGGAGCTGCTATACTCTTGAGAAGTAGTTCTACTGCTAAAATGAAATAGTGAAAATTTTGCAATCACAAAGCTTTCTATTTGCCTCCTTTAACCTAATATCAACCTTCAAGGATTTGCATAACTACCGGGAAAACTAACAAAATAGAATCATTGATGCTGGGAGCTGCTATACTCTTGAGAAGTAGTTCTACTGCTAAAATGAAATAGTATTTGGTTTTGTGGATTGGTAATAAAATCTGAGGTACTCTTTTCCTCCTTCCAATATCCGTCAAGATACTTCTGTATTTTGACCGTTTTGAAGGGGGTTTTTAATGAGGCCTCCCTTTCTTATCAAAAAATAAATTCCAAAATTTTGATTCCTACATTTATGTATTTTTTTTAACTCAATCCACCTTGAAACGCAAGACCCGTGCAACAGTTCTAACCAAAATATTTTAGCAATAAATCTTTTTATTTCAAGATGCTATTTCCACTGGATCAAGAATTTAATCTGAAAAAACACATTCTAAAATTCTGCAGTATACCACTGTTGTAAAAAAAGAATTTCATAAGAAAAAGGCCTTAAATGTTCAGTGTTCAATGTTAGGGTTGCAAAAGAAGCAAAATTATAAGAGAAAGAAGTTTAATTGTGTGTTTCATTCTCCTTTTTTTTCTCTCTTTTTCTTTACCATATGTCCTCTTCAGTTATTTACATCTTCCTTGAGGTTTTGTTCCTGTTCATTACTTCTAACTTGAGTGACTCTATATGTTCATTTCAATTATAAGATGGTTATTTAACCCACTAGCCTTTATTTTATCAGGGAGGGGAGGGGATTAAACAAATAGTAATACGGAGGAAAAAGAGTATTGATGCTATAACCAAAATCTTTTAGCAAGGATTGCCAAAAAAGAGCAGCAAATACATACCTCATTTGCAGGAGGCTGCTCATCTGAGTGCACAAAAAAATCTGCTTTCAAGTTCATAGGCCACTTCAACTGAAAACACTTCCCAGACCTAGAAAAATGAGGTTTTATATATTTGTCCAACTTCATTTAGAAGCATCCTTTACCATCTACGATACTCACCAAAAGTACTCATTTAGGTCGTCATAGTTTCTCCATTTTGAGTGGCTTGCCGTGCCTCCTTTGTTTCTCTTGACTTCCTTTTAGTTAAATAATATCAATTTTTAGCCAGAAAGCTGTAAATAAATATTACATATAACTTAAAAGTATGGAGGTGAAACCAGATAATAATTACCTGTCGGAGAACGTTATAAATAGGGGTTATTACATTCCTTAAAAATGATTCATCGTCTGGTGCAGCAGTTTGGTATGTGTCCCCACTCACAGGATGTGCATTGCTAAATAGAATTCCATAAACATCATTTGCCATCTGATAGAATGAAAAAAGAAGATAGATTAAAAATATGCAGAAGCTAAGCACATATCAAGTATGAGAACAATGCATCAATCATATCAGAATTATACAGTGTTTCGTTAATATGCAAAATATTTTATTCATTTGTCTGATTTATTGTTGCCTCGCTAACTAAACCAGATCCAGGATTGTTCCAACGATAAGAAACAACAGAAAAAACAAAGGGAGTGGAGGATCTTTTGCATAACAGTTATACAGTTAATAAATATTGAATAATTGCTTAGGTCACGAATGGTACCCAACCTCACACGAACAGGCAATAGGTGGTGAGGTCCAAGTCACAACCTGAATATATAGCCACAACAAACCCTGAACTTAAACAACAGGGAGGTGGGACTATTAACTCAAGTAGGCCCAAGACTAACTACTGAAACGAACAGGCTTGGTACTGAGAATAATATGAGGAGAGAAACCCATTTAGCTATAAGCAGAAAGACCTAACTTGAATGACAAACTGGGGTTTCTGGAAATGCCATTCATCTGATCAGAGAAACTCCATGGTCTGCATTATGATGCACTATGTGAATCACTTTCTCTCTTCAATAATTAATCTAATCATCTGAGTACCATGATTGTAAGCTCAAAGTTTCCACTAGAATTTGTGCATTAGAATTCACTGACATCTTGTATAGCTAAAAATCCTGTGCATCACGACAGAACTAAACATGTTGAGATAGATAGACACTTCATCTCTGAGAAGGTGAACAATGGAGTTGTTGAACTAAAGGTTGTCTCTACCAAAAACCAGCTAGCTGATGTTCTCACTAACGCTCTTCCAAGAGTTACCTTTGATGAAATTACATCCAAGCCGGGACTCTACAACATATACTCACCAGCTTGAGGGGAAGTGTAAGTTGTAGGCTATAATTAGTAAACTATAGGCTGAAAATTGGAACAGATTGCTAGAGTTTAGGAATATAATTCCCTAATTTATAGCTGATGATATTTAGAGATTTTATCATAATGTAGATGTTGATTTGATGATTTTGTGTATAGTTTCCTAGATTAGACTCTCTTTGTAATTCTATAAATAGGCACCATTTTTATCAATTAAAAGCATTGAAAAGTAAAACAGATTTCTCACCATTGAGAATTTGATTCAAATACCTAGTTTCTATAAATAATACCTCAACTATAAATTTATGTGAAAAGTACATAGATAAATTGATAAAATACTGAGTTAAACAAATTATATACAACAAGAAAAATAGGAGATGACTTTAGGCATGAAAAAAAAATCAGTCAAAATGATAACTACGGGCAAAGTATTTTAAAAAAAAAAATCTTGTCATAGTTTCCCCCAGAAATGTAGGTCCAACTATCAACTCATCATGGGAACTACAAAGACTGAACCTGGTTTGGAAGGGATTGATAGACATTACTCATACACTAATCATTAGATTTTTCTCTTGCATATTACTGGTTACCACTTAATAAACCAACATAGGACACCATCCTTCTTATTAGTTCCCACACTTTATGTGAATTTTGCAATGGTGCACTGGTCATCATCAACTTAACTAATCAGACATATAAATTAAAATGATAAAAAATAAAACCAACCATGGAACTTATGAGAAACAATGAGAAAGGAAATCAATTTTAATGATGATAAGTTGATAAGACCAAGGAGAAAAACATGACATCCATTCTGAGGTCATTGAATATAACTGAAAAAAGAAGTTAAAAGGAATAAATGGAAAAATAGCACCACTGACAAATAGCAAATTCCAACAATGTACATGCTTCCTCAAAATGTAAAGAAAACAACGTACGTTATGGAATATGTAGCAAAGGCATTCAGGCATGAATCGGATATTTGAAGCTTCACCCCAGATAAGAAGGTAAAGTGAAATGTAGATGAGCTCCAGCTGTTGTCTATTACAACCTTGCTGAAACCTGCGAAGTACAAAATAATCCAGGCACCATATGTTAAATCTAGGTGTTCAACTTCTGCCATAAAATACGAAAAAGGTTCGACTTTTTCTTATTACAGTTACACTGTTGCTGATTTGCAATAACTAATAGACTAACCTCAAGTGTGACTTGAAGCGCAAATAGTTGCACCATGAACGATAATTCTTGAAAATTTTATCCAACAATGTCCGTACAGTTCATCATTTAACTGTAGTAACTTCAAGTCAGGCTTGAACAAATACGATACAGATAAAACTTAAGTCTGCTACTAAAGTAGAAAAATCAAATAAGTATTATAAAGCAGCTCAAAGGAATAAAATTTACCACAGTGTAAGGTTCAAAGTTCTCTTTTTTCCTAACATCAATGTTGGCTAGCAACAAGATTAAGTGCTCCCTTTGATTTGCTACATTTCCTTTCTTCAAATTCAATAAATTTATATGAATGATGTCAGCCAGAGAAACAGATTTTTCATGAAGAAATAGATATAATATAAATAACTTGAAATAACGATTCTCCTCTAATATTTCTTTTAATTATGGAGCCAACCAGAGACCTGTTGGATGCATTAAACAGATAAAACTACAGCCTTTTGGAACAGTGCTTACTCTGATCATTAGGAGTTTGCTAGAGATTTTTGTAATTGATCAAAGAAGGCTTTAGAAATATTACAGTTTTTGAAATACTAGGGTATGGTTTGCCAACATATTCTCTTGATAGACTAAATTACACAAAAAAGTTGCTTAAATCTAAAGAAATTTTTTGGTTAAGAACATAAAATTGAGCCAAAGTCTAAAACAAAATGGTTCAAGGCCTTATTAATTTTCTAAAATTCCATTGTGAAAGAATTTAGATAATTACATGCTTTAAAAAAATAAACAAAACAATTTTTTTCTTCTACAGGTTAAGGATTATAAAAAGGAAAATTTGGAACCTATGTACAAATTGTTCAGGATGTTTGGACCTTTCATTGTTGGAGTTCCTAGTTTTCATTCCCCTTACCTCATGTTTATTACAATTTTCAATAACCTTTTTTTTTTTTGATAGGAATGGTATGCCTCATTAAAAACTCCTTCATGATTAATGGATCACAAGGTGCTCCTTAATCAGCGAAAGGAGTAAAAGAGTGCCTCAATAATTCAATAACCTTCATAAAGCTTCAACTTTCATCCTATCCTGAAAATTTTCTAAATAAATGAAAAATAAAATTTGAGGGATGTGGAAATAGCAAACCCTCTTTAGAGATACAAATCGAAGTCTGGTTCTTTTTATACATTAAAGGTTTGTAGGTCCAACATACACATCTGGGTTGATAGTACATAGTGTTGTTTAAAATACATGCAATATAATTAGTAATTTAAGGTATTACCTGAAATCCAAAGTGGGAAGAAAGCCAATCAAGTACATCATTTACTGGTTTTTCCCTCTCTTGAGGGATATTATCAGGAACGTTGGATGTGGTATGAACTCTGGGCACAGGAAGGCCTTCCACATTTCGTATGGAACGAAGTGCTGCTTTAATCTGCAGTGTTTTTCGGAGAACATTACCAAAGCGAAATTTTCCTAAAACGGTTATCCATATAGGCCAGTTAATTAATATTATATGTTATGCACATATACAACCTCAGGAAGTTCCATAATAGCTGGTTTAACTCCAACAGCATACAATGGAAGAATGTTATAGTGTTCAAATTGCTCCTTCTTCTTCTCAACCTCTTTAGCAAATCTTTGAGTCTGGAATAACAAAATAACTTAAAAGTAAACCTTCTGAGTATATTCCACATGAAACACATTCTTCATAATTTTGTACTAGAACACCGAGATTATACAGATCAAACCTCATCATCAACTCTTCCAACAGGCACAACTGTTCTCAGAACATCATATAATACTGAAGCAATCTGATAAATTTTAGCCATCTCCTCCCTTCAAGAGCAAGCAAAAAAGCAAAAGGCTTAGACAAAATGCATAACATGCCAAGCTGGAACAAATCTTGATATGAAACTAAAGATCTCACGGTTTCTTTGTATATTTGGCCATCTGCAATGTTTTTCATATAAAACTGCTGATAATACAACTGGATTTCTCTTGGATCATTTCTCGCAAGCATAGGTTTTGTCTCTTCTTCCTCCTGAAAGAAAGAAAATTTTATTTGCTCTCAACTATCTGACATTGTATAACTCAATGATTATCATGTTCACCAAAAACAGTCTAAAGAGTATACCAGAAAATATAGCAAATAAATTCATGAATTTCACTTAGAAAGCAAGATCAATTAGTAGTAGTACAATAATGTCATAATAACCTCTCATCTGAAACCTATGATGTACAAATTATCCCTAAATTAATATTTCAAGTTATTTGGAGAAACGATGAGAGTTGATAATTGATATAGACTCAACAACATCCAAGTAAAAGGTTCCCCAATAAACTGATGCAAATCTAATAAATGGAAGACAACCCCATGTCATTTTCTTTCTTCAATATGAATCAGGTCATAACTTAAATATATTTCGTATCATCATTGGTAATGCAGAGGAAAAAAAAGGTAGAAGAAATTTTCAGACACATATTAGAATTTCAGGACAAGCATCTAAGTTCAGCGGCAATATATATTACCAGGGAGATAGTCTCAACTCAGAGTCGCAGGATTCAATCTATTTTGTTCTTCAATTGGTACAGCATTTAGATAAGTATGTGCTAATTGCTATCATGATTAAATCTTCTTATCACTTAGTAAAACCGCCAGTCACTTGCTATTGTGAAAGGGGCAGGGATGCGAGGCTTACAGAATCTAATTGTATTTAAAATATTATAAAAGCAGTTGTAAGTTTAAGAAGTCTACCCTCTCAAGTCTGTGTAGCAGATAAGTCTTAAACTGGCGAACACCTCGTCCACTTGAGGTTGGGTCCATTTGGTGAGCCTTCTCGAAGGCATGGAAACGGCCTAATAAAAGAATAAAAATAAACAAGGGTCATGATATAGAATATGTAGCTACCACTATGGACATCGCCATTAATCAAGTTCTGTCTTGTAATGGAGTAAACTAAAGCACTTATTATTAATTACATAAAAAGTTATTGTTCAAAGCGGCAGACGGAGAATCAGTTACAAATACAAATATGAACAAAATTCAAAAAACGTAAATACAAAGAGAGAAGTGAGGAAAGAGAAAGAATACAGAGATAAGCGACTCTGGGGTTATCCTGTTCAATTTCATTGGCAACACGTAGAATAGGGGCGACGGAAGCCAAACTCGAAGGGACCAGCTCACTGTCAGCAGTGGTGTTATCCTCATTGGGAATATCCACCAACATCGTTTGAGCCCGAGACACCCTCTTTGACTGCGTCCGAATTGGACCCGGCCCACTGGAGCTCGCCATGAACCCTAACCGATAATAGCTTCTTCTTCGTCTTGTTCACAACCAAAGGCTCTGTTTTTTTTCTACTTTGCGTCTTTGGGCAATGGCAGTAGTAGCAGAAACGAAGGAAAGAAAATTTGGTATCGTCATTTCTTCCTGGGTTAAATATCTTGTGGCTTTTGGAGAGAAAAAGAGATGCTTTGAGTGCAGGGTGGGGCAAGGGCAAAGGCAAAGGCAAAGCAAAAGAAGTTGCTCCGCGAAGAAGAAAAGAATGGCGACCCCGATGTGGCATTTTAGGAAGGAAAAAAGCAAGTACTATTAATTAAGATGGGATTTATTAGTGCTTTTGCTTTATGGGGGATGGGGATTGGGGTTTGGGTCATTTGCCTTTGTTCCTTTTGTTGTTGCTTTTTGGTATTACCAAATCACAGTGTAAGCTTTTTGTCGATAAATCAGAAAGAAGATCAGCATGACCGCAATGACCAAATGAGCAGCGCCAGGAAACAGAGGCGGGAAGGAACCCTACTCCATGTTTTCCCACCAATTACACCATTTTGCTTCTTCATTAAGTTCCTCAATCTAATCTATAATTTTAAAAAGCTATAATACTAAAATAAATGTTTAAATTATATCATTTTTCTCAAATAGATACCTAAATTATTTTTTTGACTCATCTTAGTACCTAACGTTATAAATGTTACCCATTTAAGTGATCGAGCTATTAACAGTGTTAATTTCATGTTAATTGACACATGTCACACTCTGGTAAATTTAAAATTTTTATTTGAAATTAAAAAAATTAAAATTATATATTTTTAAAAAACACAAATTTTAAAATAAACCCAAACCTTTGAAAACATTCATTTCAACATCTAAACTTACGTTGGCTACCGCCTTTTGTCATCGATGAAGCTCCACCCAACCTCATATCCCCCACTGACCAAAACCCCCATAAAAAATTGTGACTGGTCGATTGACGACGAATTAACATTTTATACTCTGCGAACCCTGGGTTGAAAATTGTGATCCCATGCGATTCCGACAGCCAATCGCCAGCAACTATAACAGGATATGACTAGGAGGATGGCAGGGACTACGTTGGCGGCGGTTGTTGTGGCTGAAAAAGGTAGCAACAGTTGGTTAAGGATAAGATTTAAGGATTTTAGGGATGGGGGCTATTTTATAATTTAAGAGAAACTAGGGTTTTTGTATAAATATAATAATATTCTTAATATTTAAAAAAAAATCAAAGTCACCAGATTATGACATGTGTCCATTAACGATGGAAATTAACGTCGTTGAAGGCCTAGGCACCTAAACGGGTAACGTTTACAACATTAGGCACATGGATGAGCCAAAAAATAGTTTAGACACCTATTTGGGAAAAACGGTATAGTTTAGGCACTTATTTTGGTATTAATCCTTTTTAAAAGGATAAACTACGCCAATGATCACTGAATTTTGAATATATATTTTCGTTTCAAAAGTAATACGTTGAAAATCAATCCCTCTTTTACATTTTCATTTTTCTCACCAAAGGATAAACTAATTTTTTTGGCACAGTTTCACCAATATTGGATAAAAATTAACAAACTTTTTAACTCATTCTTACCTCTTTTACATTTGTCTTTTCTCTATCTTTCTCCTTTCTTGGAGATAAAGCAAAGTTCTCAAGTAAAGAGAGAAAAAATCCATGTCAGAAATACAGCGGGATGAGAGGAGTTCGAACCCGTCTTCGACATCTTTTCGATCTTTGAGTGCCCTTTCAACGAGAACTTCTCCAAGTTTAGGCAAAAGGGTGTAGGTTGAGAGAAGAAAGGGGACTTTCTGTGGCTAATGCAGCTTGAAATTAAGAGGAACAAAGCTGGTTTTTGGCTTTCCTCTTCTCTCTTCCAGATTCAAAAACTTTGCTCATCAAATTAGCATATACAGTTCAAATTAAAAGGAAACATAGAGGAACTGCATGATTGTGCTGCACAAATTTCATCATCAAAAACTTGGTGTCAACAGGCTTGAATGAAAAGTTGAAATAAGATGGTTCCAATGGGAATTCATGGCACTACTTCCCAGCACATGTTCCGTTATTGGTTTAGATATTTACAGATTTCTTTGGCTGAGCTGAGGTCCCATTGATATTTGAGGTAGTAACAGATAATATTCAGTTTAGATGGAATATTTCAGATATCTAGGTTCAGGAAATCAGAATAGGTTTTATAGTATGTTCCCAAAAATCATGTAACTTTTTAGATCTTTTTAAAACATATATATATACCCCCATCCGGCACGTACCAAATATGTAGGTTCCCCAGAACCATACAACCCCATCACGTACAATAAGGCCCTGAGCACACAGCAGAGGAACCGGTAAGTAAGGCCCTGAGCACACAGTCGAGGAGCCTCCAGGTATACTTCCTCCAACATTACCCCTAAGTAAAATATGTCCGTCCATAAACGGATATATCAAAAACCAAAACATAAATCAGGTCAAGTATCTTATCAAAATCCAGGTCAAGTATCAGATCAGAATCCAAGTCAAGTATCAGATCATAATCCATGTCAAATATCATATCAGAATCCATGTCAAGTATCAGATCATAATTCAAATCGAAAATCAGATAAAATATTCATGTGAGTAGGGAACACACCAGAGTTTACAGATAATATTCAAAGATATTAGATAATCTTAACAAGTAGAGGAACACTTCAGTATACCGATAGAATATCATAATTCAGAATCACTATTGTAAGAGTTCAATAACTGACAGAATCATCAGTTATTGGAACACGGATCTTAACTGTGTTCCATTACTTTTAAAGGTAGTCCACCACCTATGCTTATTTGGATTACTTATTTAATCCAAGACATTTACTTATTCTAGTTCATAAGGGTATTTTGGTAATTTTGGTGTTCAGTTTTATTCCATTCATTTCAGAGCTCGAGGATATCCAATCATTCCTGAGCTTGGTGATATTCTTGGGTCATTTCCATTACAGGGGTATTCTGGTCATTTTATAGATCCAACGTATTACAATCATTTTCTCCCGTCCGATCTTATTATTGAATTTAAACTTATCATTTATTTCAGTCCCTTCGAACAGTTCTAACAAAAGAACACCCTCGATAATTTATTCTTAACTCGGATATTTTCAGGTCAATTGTCTTCTCAGAAGTTACCAACATGTTATCATAAATTTTTTGTACAAAGATAGAATCTTAACAATTAAATCCGTACTTAATCGAGTTAAGTACGAATCCTCAAAGTACTTTCTCAATCAGGGTCAACTCAGATTATTTTACTTCTCAAGGGCATTTTCGTAATTTCTTAATCAGATAATTTCGATATTAGCTCTTAATGAAAATAATATAATTTAGAGATCCTATGATTAAATGCTTTCTTGAACACTCTCTGATCTTGAAATAATTCCCTTAACATACTTCTAGTATCATTCACAAACCCTCATAGGATTAAAAATCGGTTATCCATAATTTCCAAGTAAAACTAACATTTCTTATGCACATTAATATTTTTATCAGATCAATATGTCTGTAAAACTCTTATCCAACTTCCATATTCAAATCTCGTCATTTTATAACATAAGGGTATTTTCATAATTTTACCCTACCGGAGTATTCTCATAATTTCTCATCCAAGTACCTTTAACATTTAACCTTTGATGAAATAAATTATAAGTTACAGATCCAGGTTGATTTCTTTATCACTAAGAACATAACTTGTAATTTAATTCTAACAATCCCTCAATTTCTTATAAAAGTCATCTGAACCATAATCAATTACTGAACCTTTTTACCGTATTCAGATTGAGTGTAGAAATTAATTAACTACACAAATAAGACTAACATTATCTTAATCATGCATTTACCAATATTCACATGTTCCATAAAGCATAAAGAGGTAGTAAAGTATTACCTCGATTTTCGTGCAATACTGATCGACCATAAAAATTCCATTCGAATGCCTTTAATCTTTAATTCAGCATCCAATAATTCCTCGGATCCATATCAACAGAAATTACTTCAAAATCGGAGCTTAATTTTGAAAAACGGATCGAATCGGATGATAAATCAGTGAAACATAGCTTATCGGGTTCGAATTTGGCGAAACGGACTTCGGATTCGGATTCAAGACGTCGAAAGCATAAAATATGACTTTTCAAAATTTTGAAATTTTTGGTCAAAATCAAAGTCAACAGGTTTGACTAGAAATTTCGAGGCCTTCGGGTCCGAACTTCAAAAAACGGACTGCGGAATCAGATTTGGAACGTCGTAAAATGTCATGATAGGTATACTTGGTTAAAATCAAAGGTCGTTTAATGCCCGGTCAAAGCCAGTCAAAGTTTTGGTCAGCTGTGGTCAACTGGTCGGGTCGTGTTGGAACCGGTCAAACTGGTTCAAAACCAGTCAAACCGATCATTTTAACCTTCCCCACGTGTCGGCATGTGGGGACGCGTGGGACCTCTTCCGGTAGTGTAAAATTCACATAAAAATTCTTAAAAATTATTTTGAGCGATTTCGATGTACTTATAAAGCTTGGTTCAAAATTTTGAATGGCGGAGAGCTCGATTTCCATAAATCAAAAACTTTGACCGTCTCACCTCCTCACGTGCCACCGTCGATGGAGACCAAGAATGACACCAGCGGACTCGAAACGGCATAAGGAACATGATGGTGCGGGAGGTGTCGTAAACGGATGTTCGGATCGTCGTGAATCGACGAAAAACCAACTGAAATCGAGTTATTACTGATGATACTTTTGACTGAAATTAACGATGAACGACCACGATTCACAACGAAAGGTTTGAAGGGTTTTGTTTCTCGTTTGACAACGAACACGATGGTGGTTTCGGTTCGCCGATCAGAGGTCGAACGACGAGTAGATCGAAGTTGAAAGGAGGGCTGTTGGAGAGGAAAAATTGGGAAGAAATCTGGAAAATCATACGGGGAGGGGGATTTATAATTCAACTCATAATAAAATTGGGTAAACCATGAGTTTAGTCACTAAACTTCCTATACTTCTTAAAATGGTCTGCCAACTTCACGATTTTACAATTTAATCCCCAATTTCTTCCAAAAATATCAATTAAATTCATCACTTTATAACTTCTTAAATTTATCCCCTATGGGGTGTTACAATTCTTCCCTCCTTAAAAGAATTTCGTCCTCAAAATTCATTCATGTCACATTATTACAGAAATAAAACTTCCATTAGTTTTTTTTCCATATCTTTAATGTAGCTCTTATAGAAATATGAATCCTCCACTAATCCTTAATCAGTTGAGCATACATTCTTATAAGAACTTTTCATTATTTCAATAAAAGAATCCAAACGAAAATGTCCTTGAGTAATCAATTCAGTATTGGTCATAAGAATAGGCTCATAGAGCAGTAGCATATCCCAATTTAATTTCCGGAGTCGGGTCAAAATTTCTCAGATGAGTAACTCTAACATGGCTCGTGAGGTAC